ACAGGGGTTCATATTTCTGAAGGAGACCAGGGTAGCCCCTTCTATAACTGGAAGTACTCAGGCAAAGCCTACTGGGCAGCACACTCTTTCGCTCACAGGAAAGCTTCTTGCCAGGCCCAGCAATCAGAGCAGTGAGGGGCAGAGCAAGTGTGATGTGGCAAATCTGTGCTCAGATTTCCTGAGCAGAAAATAAGTAAGTAAATAAATAAGGCAGCTGCTGCAAGGGTGAAGGGTAGCTCTGATAGAGATCAGAGCGGAGATTTCAGTTATGAGTAGGCATGTTTCAGGCCTTTCATCTGCGCCATGTTTCCACAGTCTAAACCTCGTCCTACCCACACCACCAAAGCAGCTCTCAGTCCTGCTTGGAAGGGGTCGGATGCCGTTATCTGTCTCATGCCCGTATTTCGCCTGATTAATTTCATTTTCAGGGGAGGCTGATTTCAGTTGGAGAAATGGCACTGAGGTGGTTGGACCATTCCTCCCACATGGTTGCTGCTCCACTCAAAACCAGAAGCACCCAGCCACCTCCCACCATGCATGTCTCCTTGAACACTGAAAATGCTTAATCAGAAGATCTGGTGGTGAGCCTGCTACGCTGCATGATGTTGGCACGTGGGAGCAAGTCCCCCAGAGGCTTCACACACCTTTGGCCTGGTAACTTGCCCAGATGGGAAACCACCTGGGAATGACCAGCTCCTGAGCATATGCGAGTCTCCATTCTTTCGCCACTGGATAGCCACAGTCTGCTGGCACCCACCTAGGACTAACATTTCAGCTTAGTTTGAGCCCCAGCTGCTCTTTTTTAAAGAAAGCTGCTGTCAGAGCTCAGGCAGCAGGCAGAGGCTTTTCCTTCCTTGTTCAGCAGCACCTGGCTTGACTCTCACATGTTCCTGCACTCTGTTCCTACTCCAGGAAAAGGTTCTGGGCAGCGTCTTATTGTTTGCATTTCAGAGCAGCTGCTACTGCAGCTTCACTTCCCAGAACTGCTTGCTGGTGTTTATTCCTGGCTGCCTAGGGCAGCTGCTCTGGGACAAGGAAATCTCTCTCTTTCCTGCTCCCTCCCCTTCCCTCCCTTGCTCTCTCTGTGCCACAGTCATGCATACTGATATTTCTCATACCCAAACTCAGTATGATATAATGCATCTGCTGTCACCTTCCACTGGCAATGGGAAGTTCTCTGGGCCAAGGAGTATGCACTAGGGCTTTTGCAACAAATTCGACATGGTAGGAAGCCCTGTCCAAGGCTCATCCCTAACACACATCAGTGTTTGAGGGCTGAAAGGAGGGATAGGGATGACAAGCATTAATTTTTCTTATGGAATCTTGAATGGAGAGGGGCTTGAGGATGATAGGTCAGGAGAATTCACCTATATATCTGGCTCAGGTGCATCAACAATTGATTATGCATCTTGGCATTAGGAAAAAATCAGGTGACTTTTCTGGGCCTTCTTGAATTAAACAAGAACACTTGCATAGATTTGAGTCTTTAGTGCTACACTTGATCCACCACTAATAAGTATTTTGTGGTTCACAACATCAGCAACAAGCACAAATGAATATTCCAGTTGTTTTGTGTAGTGGCGGAAGAATTTTCAGTATAATCAAGTAACTGGACTGTTTTAGGGGAGTGGTCATAACTTGAGTTAAATCTCAGTCTAGGGCTAGGAGGCCATTACCTGAAACCTAGAAACGCTGCTGCCAATCAGTGTTGATACAACTAGGCTAGATGGACCAATGCACTCACTCCGTATAAGGATCACGTCTGCACCACTGAGTGTTAGAAAGATGTAAAGTGCTACATCTTGATCTCATGCAGCAATTCCATTGCAACTGCCCCGGTTGTTAAACTGAGAAAGCTCTAAATGCTGCTGCTTGACCACTTATATGGCTGTCTTGTTTGTTGGTGCTTGCTGCTATATCCACGAGTGTTTCCAGCCGTAAATACATAAACCCTGAAGGGCATATGCACATCCCTAAATCTTTCCCCATCCATTTTGTTTGGGGTTGTTGATCTGTTTGTTTGTTTGTTTGTTTGTTTGTTTTTTGCAACATATAAATTCATGAAGAGTTCTGAAGAACTCAAAACCCTGCACAAACTTTTGTGGCATTTTCATTGAACCTAATAAAAGTATTATTTAGTCAATCTATTTTAAATCTACCTAATCAGCAACATTTAATCTATCCCAAACCTAGCAGTTAACCACAAAGTATTGCCCAACTTTGGACCCCCAAATCTACAGTGGACCTGCTCTAGGAAAACACACCTAAATAGGAAACCCTAGTGCACATTTCCAAGCATTTAGAGGCACACATCTGCCCTTCACCTTATTTATTACATGCTTACTACAAGAAATCCTGATGTAACTGCAGCAAGGATTGCACAAAGTGTGAAGTGGCTCTTCCACAGCTTTCTCACAGTCCATACACTGCAGTGCTGTTCCAGCCCACATATCACATTTCTTATGCTCTGGAAAAATTCCAGCTGCTGAGCCCCAAAATAGCTCATTGTTCTCCTAGGAAGGCTCCCCTCATCTGTTTACCTTGCAAAATCAACTCCTTCCCTTCAGAATTGCTGTTTAGGATTGCTGCAATCCAACCATTGGTTACTGCAGTAACCAGACCTGCTTCAGGCATAGAATCCAGTCAAGAAAGGGGGGAAGTGCTTGCCTTTCTTGTTCCCATATGATTCAGCCTCAGTTTGTCTCTCTTCCCTGCAGCTCTTCTGGGAAGGGCAAGTGAGGATAGGATGGAATCCTGCCCTTGGAAAAAAAAAATCCCAACAAATTAGAACTCTGTGGACAATTAAACCCCAAACCTTCCCATAGCCCTAAGAAACCCTGCCAAACACTACAAAATGTGAAGTGTGGGAGGTGAGGTGGAGGGAGGGGACATGTTCTTCCCCATAGCAAATGCTTCAAATGTTTACACTTAAGTTTCTAAAATCCGCATTAGTGTAATACCTTTATGAGGCCAACCAAAAGATCACAGCCAACAACTACAAAACCCTTTTAAGTTTCTGTCATCATTCAGCTCAGAGTTTAAAATGCCTTCTGAGTGACAGCAACAGCAGGAGAGAGGGTTCCCCAGCTCCTTTGTGTATGATTTACTCTGCTAATAAATGGCTATGTATAGCTCAAGTTGTTTTGCAGATATGGTGAGTTGACAGGAGGGAGATATTATTTTAGTCGTAATGTTGAAGAAGGAATTATGTGAGAAAGTCTGTGGTGATCAGGGTGCTTCCAGGCAGAAGGCTCTTAACACAACCAGTCTAAAGACATTGTATGGCTATTTGGTCTTTTCCTCCTTAATTTTAAAGAAAAGAGATGAACCAAGGGGAAACACAGCAGGGTCACAAGTGGAAGAGAACTCTTGTTAAATGTTTGTGAATGAGGCAGAGCAATTGCAAGATAAAAGCCTCATCTGGAAGCACCCCAGGGATATGAGACTAGGCACTTGTCATATTGACAGGTTTACACTGCTATTTCAGTCTCCTTCCAATTCATCTCTTATAGGAAGAGGCATAAAATGGCAAATGGAAAGAAATCTCCCTATTTGTGAGCTGCTTGGTGCAATGAGCAGCCTCATGCACAGTATGAAGCATCATCCTGGACATGTGCACTTGCTATTGGCTAACACTTAGGCAGGCAAATATGGGCAAGTTAGATTTCTTAAGGTCCAGCTCCTCAGCAGGGCTCCACTAAAGCATCCTGCAAGAGGTTTCTGCCCCCGGAGGCTCGGCTGAAACCCACTGGTTACAGAAAGAAAGCACTTTCTATATCCCATACCCAGACTTCCAAGAGCAGTTTCGTTAGCAAAACACAAAACGCCAGGAAAGGAAATTTGGCAGATGAAGGATTGTGCCAATGCCAGAAAGTTCTCGGGTCTGTTCCCTGTGCTGTAAGTTGTGTCACTGCGGTGACCTGGTGAGCCCTCGCTGTGTGTTACACCGACCGGCAAATCCTGCTACATCCCAGGCCGAGCAGAAAGCGCGCCCTCTAGTGCCCGTCAGGCCCGTCCTGACGCTTCTCTTATTTTACCTGCGCTTAGCGGAACACGAAAGAGGAACTAGCGGAGAGGAAAAGGCGGCTGAAACTCTTTGGGAAGTTGACCGTGAGTTCAGTATTCAAATGACGGAAGTCTTCAAAGTAATTCTAAGCACTGACTGGAAGCTCTGCAGAACCTGCCGCGGTCTGAGCAAGGTTACGAGTGCAAAATCGCCAGCCTGAGGTGGGGAGGTCGGGAGGTGGGGGGCAAGAGCAAAATTCCGGCTGCTCAAGGGAGCTTTGCATCTTACACGCCGGGCTTGAAGGGCTTGCCATTGCCCTATATCCAGCAGGGAATTTCTTAGGAATGCAAATCATCCTAAACAGTACGCGCTCCAGGCGGACTCCGGGCCTTTCCCATCTGCCTTCCCCGGGGAAGGCTTCCCCCGGGCTCCTCTTAAAGCCGAAGAAAGGTTCTGGGGATGAACGCATGAGTCTGTGTGGTGCTACGGGGATGCCACGTCTCCCTGGTAGTCCTTGCTATTGGTTACGGGGAAAAGTCTTCTGCTGGCCCGGAGGAGGCGCGAAGAGCTTCTCTACACGCAGGTGCTTTTACCTCTCCCGGGCTTGTGCTGTGCGCCCCTAGCCACGGCGACGCCCCGCGCACAATGCGGCGGCGCCTCCTCCCTTTCGAGGCGCCCATAATCGCCGTACCGCTCAGGCGGGCTGCCCTGGCCTACCGCGCGCCGCAGGCCTGTTCTCGCCAGCAGCGGAGAGACGTGGCTCCAGCCCCTCCTCCCAGTTCCTTAAAGCAAGTGGCGGGCTGAGAAGCGGCCAGGACCAGCGGGGGAGCGCCGGGGGGGAGGGAGGCCTCGCTGCCCGGAATGGGTTGGCCGCTGCCTGGCTGGCTGCCTGGGCGCGCTCGCCCTCCCGGCCGGGGCGGGGCCCGGAGCGTTACAAGAAGAAGCCGAGTTCCAGGAACCTGGGGGCGGGGCTGGCAGATGCTCTATAAAATCCTCCGGCAGAGGCTCCGGCGGCTTTGCAACTAGGACAAGCCAAGCGCGCGAAGAGCCCGGACTCAGTCGCTTCGAGCTTCCCGCAAGCCGCTCGCCGCCTGCCCCTCGTTTCTCGCTCCCCAGGTAACCACCGGCTTTGGGGCTGGGCCTCGGTGGTACGGCCGGCCGGCTCGTTGTTCGGCCTCTGGAAGCTCATTGCGGGATAGGGCGCCGTGCGCTCCCGGGGCGCACAGAGCGCTCCTTGTGATGCAAAGGCAAATCCAAGCCAACGCGGGCATGGGGAGAAAGGGGTGCGGGGAGGATGGGGTGAGTTTATCCAGGGGAGGGAGGGAGCTAATAACAGGCCGCCGGTGGGCGAGGAGTGTGCCGTGTCCGGCTTTAGTGCCTGGCCCTAGGGCATGGGGACCAAATCAGGGAATACCTGGACGCTGGCAAGGCGACAGGAGCGGCTTTCCGGAATGGGGATGTCCCTACTAACTGAGTGGGATGCTGTGCGCCAAGCCCTGCTCCAGGGATGCCCTTTGTCTTAACTAACAGCTTTTTTCCCTGTGCTTTCTGGCAGGCCCCGATCCTATCAGCCGCTGCACTCGGCAGCAGCCCAGATCTCCGGAAAGCTGGCTCCCTGCGCCATGGTCACCCACAGCAAGTTCCCCAGTGCAGGGATGAGCCACCCACTGGACACCAGCCTGCGCCTCAAGACTTTCAGCTCCAAGAGTGAATACCAGCTGGTGGTGAATGCGGTGCGCAAGCTGAAGGAGAGTGGCTTCTACTGGAGTGCGGTGACAGGTGGCCAGGCCAACCTGCTCCTGAGCACGGAGCCCACTGGCACCTTCCTCATCCGTGACAGCTCAGACCAGCGCCACTTTTTCACCCTCAGTGTCAAGACGGAGTCTGGCACCAAAAACTTGCGGATCCAGTGTGAAGGTGGCAATTTCTCACTCCAGAGTGACCCTCACAGCAGCCAGCCTGTGCCCCGCTTCAACTGCGTCCTGAAGCTGGTCCATCACTACATGCCCCTCCCTGAGCCACAGCCAGGTGAGCCGTCACATCCCAAACGTGCCTATTACATCTACTCAGGTGGAGAGAAGATCCCATTGGTGCTGAGCCGCCCACTCTCCTCCAATGTGTCTACCCTGCAGCATTTGTGCCGCAAGACCGTCAACGGGCACTTAGATTCCTATGAGAAGATGACCCAGCTCCCGGGCCCAATCAAAGAATTCCTGGACCAGTACGATGCACCCTTCTAAACGGTTTCTTCAGTGGGGGTAGCCCATGACAAAAGCACAAGAGCAGAACAGGGGAATCTATGAAAAAGGAGATTACAGGGCAAAAAAATCATCACATTGTCTTCTTTTTTCTGGCATGGATTATGAGAGAGGCTGGGGTTGGCCCATGTAGTGGCCACGGAGCCTCTGCCCAGCGCAGAGACTGTCTTGCTGCTGTTTGTGCTGGATGGTTTGCCAGGGGGTGCTTTGTGCAAGAGACTGATGCTGCTGGACTATGGAACAGGCTGCTGCTCCTTGATACAATTGTCTGTCTGGCTTATGCTGGGTGTGATAGAATGGTTTGCAAACCTCCCTAATCAGTGGACAGTTTACAAAGAGCATTTACTCTGCACTGGCCCAGACCACCTCTGATGACCTCTGACCAAAACCATTCTGCAGACAACTGGAATCCAGCTAGTGCCTGAAAATTGACTTTTCCTCAGTTTTAAGGGGATTTTTTAAAGAAATGAACTTTACCTCTCTCCACCTCCCAGAGAAGCAGAATCCAAGCCTCTTCCTCAGAGGATGTTGCCGCATGTTTATTCATGGGACTAAGCCTTAAAAAGAAAGAAAGACAGAAAGAAAGACAGAAATCTACATCTTCCTCTCATCCCATGAACTGGCTCAATACTGCACATCACATGGGGAGCATGCCATTCACTCTCTGTGTGCCATTATGCAATCAAAGGAGGCTGTCGTTCTGAGAAATCGGATCACTACTTTTGGAACATCAGACTGGATGATGAATGATCTAGCCATTGTTTTCCCCTGAAGCGTCATTCCACCTCAGCTTCTCTGCCCAGACTGATAATCTCTTGCCTTCATTCTCGGGTTTTCAACTCCTCAAAGAATGGTCTCACATCTACAGCAGAGGTTGTGGATTTGTTTGGGCCCTAAATCGCACTGAATACTAAAAAAACGTACAGGAATGTAGCAACAACGGATTTACCTGGAACTCTTTCAATGATTTTTTTTGTAAAAATGTAACCAAAATTTTGTGTGTTCATCTTATTTTTCCATATCAGGGTTTTAGCAGGGCAGATAACTTTTGTTTTTACAGAAAAATGTTTACAGACCTGCCTAAAGAATAATAATTCTGTCTTTTATAAAGATTCCACCCTTCAGCCTTGCAGGCTGCTAGACATGCTTGAAGACTCAACCAAAAATCAGACTTGGAAAAACCTTTGCACATCTATTTATATTTATATCCAAGGATTTTAAAGACAACTTCCATTAATTTATAATAAAAGTCACTATTTTTTAAATGAAATATTTGACTCTCTTCCTCTTATTCTATTCTGCCCTCCTCCCATATATGTCCATAACAGTGTGCATTCTGGACTCAGTGTCATTCTCTAACACAGGAGTGAACAGCCTGTGGCTCTCCAAATATTGTGGGACTGCAGGCTTCATAATTCTTCACTAGTGTTTATCCTGACTGGGGCCGGTGAGAGTTGCAGTCCAACACTATCTGGAGGGTCTCATTTTGTCCACTCCTGTTCTAACAGCATTCAAACAAAAAGTAGAATTCCTGGGGGTTGCTTAGACTCCATTGAGTTCAATGCATGCTAAACAGCTGCACATCTAAACCGTACAAGAGGGTGCATGATGTCTTTGGGTGCACGAAGGGAACTCTCCTGCTGGCATTGCTAGCCGCATCTCCAGCACTGTCTGGAATGGCATTGAAGCACAACTTACCGCAACCTCTGGTCAGTGGTGGCTGCTGCATACAATCAGTTTTGCCACAGATATCCATAATTGGGTCATGGAAAGCCTATAGAATACTATTATATAGAATACTATAACTCTCTAGAACTTTATTTTTCTGGGAGAGAGACCTTCTATGTTTCTGGTTTAGAACTATAATGCCAAACTGGGAGCACACAAGGTAGAACTCCATGTGATGACATCAGACCCTTATCTTCCTGTGCAGGTAACTACGAAACAGCACACGCTTTGCCGAGTCTGCTCCTTCATGATTGCTTCTATCTGAAGATAAAAGTCTACTGTTATCACATGTAGTTCTAGTTTTTCAATTTCATTGTGACATCTATCATCTGCCTTTTTCCCCTCTTGCAAGGAGAAACCAAAGGTGGCTTATGTGGTCTTCCTCCTTTCCAACAGCCTATGTGGTAGATTGGGCTGAAAGTAACTGAAGTCACCCAGTGAGTTTCATGGCCAAGTGGGAGTAGAACCCAGATCTCTTGAGTCCCACTCCAACACTGTAACAGTTACACTACATTGGCTGCCTCGTTTTTGTGTTCCCAGTTTGGCATTTTAGAACTAAACCAGAAGCATAGAAGACCTTATCCCATGCCCAGAAAATCAATGACAGCCATCCCCCTTGGGAAGGGACCACAGCTCACTAGAAATGCAGAAGGGCCTATGTTCAATCTATGGCACTTCCAAGTAGAAGGATGCAGTGCTAGGTGATATGAAGATGTTCAGACTAAGACGCTTTTGGTGTAGACCAGCCTTCCCCAACCCAGTGCCCTCCAGATATTGTTGGGCTGCAACTCAGCCCCAGGCATCCTGGCTAATATTCAAGAAGTAATTAAAGATGTGGTCCAATGACACATGGAGGGGCACAGGTTCCCCAGCCCTGCCATAGGAAAGTCATGTGTTCCACAAGTAAACATGCATATCAGATACACCCTTTGTGGGGCGCAGTTGCTGAATGCAACTTCCTGCAGTGCTGGAGAGAGATCCAGTTCCCAGAGTCTTATGGCTGGACCATGGGGAGCTATGATAAGAGAGCTTGTTTAGCTTTGGGATTTTTTCAAGGGCAGTGGAAAGTTCTGGTGGAGAAGAACGTGCTGATTGCATGTCAGCTCCCTTGCTGTGTTTGCAGACAGCTGCTTGCTTATCGCTCTGGCATTTGTCAGAGGAAGGGGATGGAGGAGGTGTCTTCTGATGGGTACATTTCAACAAGACCTAATTTCTCCCCATTTTTGTTGTAGCTGTGCCATATTTGTGCATGTGCATCAGCTTTCTGAATACTCCTTTCTCTGCAGTAATGGATGGGAAATTACTATCCCTCTCGGTTACTGAACTACATAGGGCTGATAGGAGTTGTAGTCCACAGACATCTGGTGGGGTACACTATCCCCACCCTGTTATAAAGAAACTTGTTCATATGAACTAAAAAGCTTTAAAAGCTGTTTTACCTGACTCAGCCGTGATTACTCCAATCATGCATAGTCCTTTCCCATGCAAAGAACCCCTCCAGGTAGCAATCTACATTGTCCCTGCTCTGCATCACCCCCTGCATTTCATTGCTTTTTTCACAGGTGCCATTTGTTCTCAGTGGAACTGCCAGCATTCGATTGCCTACTTCTAATACCACAAGATTGTATCCCATATTAATCCAACCAAGGGCCCTTTCATATCTGTGGATCTACTCTCAGTAGAATTTACAATGGCCAGAACATGCCCCCCCTCCCCTTTTAAATTGCATGATGGTACGGTAAAGCACACCACATTTCTTTTCTTCCATTACCCCCATTATTCTTCTAAACAGCCACTGGTGTGCATCGAGTATCTTGAAGCACAATGACCTCCTGAATCTTATGGCATATTGCGCATTCCAGACACAAGAACAGGGCAGTTGGCCATTTGGCTAATACCAAAGGCATTCCATCTCAGTCTTAAATTCCATAACAGTAAATGACCCTAGTTCACACTCGTGGCATTTTTCCTTGTCTACTATCACCCCCAACCCCCACCTCTCTCTCTTTCACTCACCCCACAAGCATGGAGCTTTTTCGAGCCCATGGAAAACACGAGATAAATACATCTCACGTCATTTTCTAGAAATGATTACACAAGTGCCAACAAGAGAGCCACCTTGCAAGTGATCTCTTACTGGCATTCTCTTTTCCCTGAATTCTTTGCTCTGAACAAGATTGGAGGTGGGATGAGTTAGATTTTGATTTTATATTGTTGGTTTTTTGGTTTTGTTTTGGTAAACAAGAATAATGGGGGACAAAGCAGAGGTATATTGGTGAATGTATGGATTATGGCTCCATGTGTAGATGGAGGTGCAACCCACAGGAGCTGAAGAAGGAGCGATCCACCTGAATCCTGGAAGCTGAGGGCAAGAACAGCAAGGCACACGTTCAGTTTTTTGTTAAGCCACATAACATCTGAGCATGTAAAACATGCTTCATGGGAACAGGAAAAGCAAGCGGACAGGTCCAGTGTTTGAACAACACTGGACAGAGCAAGTGAGGGAGAGTAACCTTAAAATAAGGAGCAGGTGGGTGTATCTTACCGCAAGTGGGACAAACTGCACTGGCCCTCTTTATCTCTTCGTGAATCGTGTTACGTGTTGCTTCAGTGGAAGCCACATGGGTTGTCACCTTTCTTTCTCGCTAGCATATCATGCCCTTAAATATGTAGTGAGCATCCTTTGATAACACTTTCCCCACACAGGCCTTTCTTCACCAACGATAACAGCACCACTTGCATTTTCACTTATTGTGTTGCAGTTACCAATGCCCGAGAGGCCTGACAAGTGCAGCGAAGATCCTGCTCCAGAGAAGCAAGCAATGGGCATGCAAGTCCGCTCCTGTCTGTGGTCCTCTGGAGCCAGCTCCTTTTCTCTGTATGTGAAGCGACTGCTGCAGCTCTTAATCCTGTGTCTCACCCAAGCAGAACAAATGGAAATAAAAGGAGAGCTGTGCAGGCTCTCGGTCCAGCCCCTGTGGCCTATTGTCCCAGCCCTGCCAGGAAACATGGATTCCCAGTCGAGTTTGAGCTATGCCAAGAATGTCCAGGCGGAGAAAAGCCAGTGGCGCCATGCCAGGTCCTGTCGAAGCACATCCCCAACGTCAGTGCCATCTGATCCTGGCCGGCACACACCCCTCTCCTCCCGCTGAGATCGGGGTTTCCACAGCAACAGGATTAAAGGCTGGAATATCACTGTTTATTCTTTGGCCTGTGCCAGGAAATGAGAGGCCTTCTCTTTCCCTGATTCCAGCTGCCATCCTGAGGGGAGTATTCCTGGAAATTCTGGGTAGGGGCCTGCTTATTCCATGGGACAAAGTGAGGTATACCAGTGGGGGGAGTAAACAAATAAAACAACCAATCAAGGGAAAGATTTGGGCAATGTCCTCAGTTTATCGGTCCCTCTGAGGATGCTCATCCTGGACTACATGGCACATGGGAACAGTCACAACACTTGCATCATTTGCCTGCCAAACAAAACACAGTCTAGGTTATAACATAATGAAAGGGCCTTCTGAACCCTCTGAGCCCACAGGGTTCCCAAAAGGACTTTCACAGTAACCAGGGAGGGCAGCAAAATGGGCCACATAATACCCACAGCACTTGTCCCAGCCTCTTGGTCTTGTAAAAAGCAAACTTTTTTCCATGCCTCAAATGTTCATTGCAACTTGCCTGCAGTTATCTGAGATTCCATGTTCCCCCCTCCCTCCAGCGCAGTCTTCTTGTAGGGCAAAGGCAGCTGATTCTGAGTGACAAATTCAATTTATCCTTTACTATCATTATTATTTCACTACAATGTGCAGGGGGAGGTGAACCTGTGGATCATCGGATACTTTGCCTCAGATGCCAAAATACCTTGACTGGCCTTGGGAACGAACTATGCATCTTGATTTGGGAAGGGTGTGCAACTGGCTATTGCACTCCAGGCAATGGATTGACATAGACTGGCCTTGCCCTGCCACCCTCAGCCCCCAGCCGTGTGCTTCAATGCAAATTCTCACTGATTCAAAAGTCCGGGAAGGTTTATGAATGCCTGTTGTTTCTTGGAATACCTCCCAGGCAGCAGTGACGTAGGGGTCCAGCAGAGTTTAAGCAGAAGTTTCACAAGTTTCCCCAGAAATGTCCCCAGTTCTGCATTATACAGGGAACCAAGAGAATGTGTCAGTGCGTTATGCTTCTCTGCTTTGGAGTAGTAGAATTTGTCACCTCTGTGAGAGTTTACCGGATGACACGAGGAGTGGCGGGTAACCTGCTTGGCTGATCACAGTGATGAAGCTTCAGCTCTGATTCAAGTGGCAGGAAGTGCCCTTGTCCCAACAGGAAAGCATCTCCGCCAAATGCAGGATGCGCAGCCCTTATCTAGTGTTTCACACACATAACCAATTCCTGTCACCCAGTGTTCTGAGAAACCAAAACAGAAACTTGCCAGATACATTCAAAACAGTTTGCCAGTCCTTGCAGACCTCGCAAAAGTGGACCCTGAGTGGTTCAACACAAGCGCATCTGAATAATGCTGCAAATTCAGGAAATGGGGAAAACTGG